CTTGAACACAGGCGGCTCTCCAAAGGGGCGCTTCTCCTTAAAGAGCCATCGGCCGTCGACTACGTTCACCCCAGGTGGGGGAACTGCGTCGACGTAGGTGCCGGTGGATCTCCAAGATGCCATCTCGTGCTCCATGGCAACTATCCACTGAGAGGCCTAGGGTCTCGAGGTGGCCTTAGCGTAGGTGCGAGGGGTCGGGATGTCAAGGCGTCTGGGTCACCCTCAGGACTAGTAGCATCGAGCAGAGATGGGGAGCAGCCTCGGACAGGAAAGCAAGGTCGTACTGCCCATCGTCTAGGACGTCACTGCCAAGGGCAGAAGCACCCCAGACGGACGGAGGATGAACAGGGTCAGTGACCAGAGCGGTGGCGTAGTCAAGGTGGCGGGTAGAGGCGAATTCAGCGACAGCAGCGACAAGAGCGTCAACACTGGAGACAGGAACAGGCGAGTCGGTAACGAGGGAGGCAAGGACCCGAGGAACAAGAGGACGAACAGCACAAAGGTAATCAGACAGAGGGGGAGGCTCGACAGAGAGCGGCGACGAGGAGGCGAAGGCAGTAGGGGAGGACAAGACGCGTGCGAACAAAGAAACATAGGATGAGAACGCTGAATAGGAAAGACAGGACGAGCATGAGAGGGACGGCGAGACCAGACGTGAGACGGAGGCATCAGGCCAGGTGACAGAGAAGGAGTAACAGAAGGTGAACATGGTGGGAAACGAATCGAGCACGAGTCCGGAGAGGAAACACAGGACCATGGATAGGAAGGGGAAGTGGCGGCGGGGGAGGCGCAGGCGAGCGGTCAAGGGAGGGAAGGCCGAGCAGGCGAAGGGCGGACACCGGCGGCTGCTGCTGCTCGACGCCAACACCTGGACAGCCAGCTGCACCACGGCTACCTCCGGAACCCTCCACTCTAGCACCCCCAGAATGAGAACCCTCTCCAGCACCGGTGCCACCCTTGAGCCCGTTGAGACAAGCCACGACAGGAACCCCGGGACTAGCACCCCCAGAGTCCACCAACGGCTGCTGCTGCTACGGCTGCGGCGGCGACGGCTGCTGCTGCGGCGGCGACTGCGACGGCAGAGAAAGAGACACCAGGGGAGGGACAGGCGACGAGAAGTGCGCCGCCGAGCCACCAAAGTCAGCCGACTCCTTGACCGGGACAACCGACAGGAGGGGAGTGACGTTAGACACACCAGACGGAGTAGGACGGGGAGGGAGGGGAACAGGGGCTACCGGGGAGTGGGGACCAGAAACAGGGGAGGGGAAACCGGGGGACCTCGGTGGGTAACGCGGTGATAAAAGGAGACAGACTCGTCGAAAGTGGAGTCACGGGAGTGAAAGAAGCGGTGAGACCAGGGGTGGTAAAAGTGCCAGTCAGACGAGTCCAGGGGAAAACCAAGGAAGACACAGGGGACAGTGCGGGCAGTGGGCTTGTTTGTACCAGAGGCTCGGACGTGAGCGAGGCAGCCCCAGACATGGAACCCGGTCCAAAGAAGAGTCGGCAAAACCTGTTGCCGCTGGGAGCGCGGCCACAGGTTAAGCTAGTGACTAGCGTAGCAAACGGCGAACGGCCACAAAATGGGGTGCACTGGCATGAATCATGGAGGTACGAGCCACCTCCATGACCAAGCCGATGCGTCACTCAGCGACCCCATTCTGCTGCGGGGAGTCCGGTAGGGTGTACGAGTAGGTGATGCCCTCCGTACGACAGAACTGTCCAAGCCAACTAGAGGCGAACTTGGCGCCACGGTCAGAGTGGAGACACAGCACAGGGAGACCACGGTGGAGGCGCGCAGCTACGACCCACGGGATGAGAACGTAAGTCTCATCGGCCTTCCGCTCCAGGGGAAACACCGTGGTGTAGCGCGTGTAGTCGTCCACAAGTACTAGAAATTAGCACTCGCAACGCGGTCCAGGGACGGGGGTTGGGCCCCAGACGTCGAGGTGCAGGGTATGGACTGGTGCGGTGACGGGACGAAGCGAGGAGGAGTGGAGAGCACGGCGCAGCCGGCCTTCGACGCAGGGCGTGCACGGCGGCGCAAGCGAGGGAGGGAGGGCAGGAAGCGACGCAGGGAGACCTTGGACGAGACCGTGCTGAGACATGTGACGCTGACGTGGGAGTGCAGCGTGACCTATGCAGTGGTGCAACAAAAGCGACGAGTGAGTGAGCAACCGACACGAGCAAGCCGCAGCGATCTGGGTAGACACAGGGCCCGGGGAGCACGTGCCAACTGGGGGGGGGAGCAGTGTCCAGCGTAAACAGGCCAGACACCGGGTCTCGGGGGAATGTCACAATGATGCGGCCTCGGTACAAACAGCATTCCGCTCGTGACCAGGAAACGTAGTGGTGACGCCGAGGTCCTGAAGACAGCCGACACCAACTAAGTTCCTGGAGAACGAAGGGATGTGCAGGCCTGTAAGGGAACCCGAGGGGACCGCTGGATAGGGAAGGGTAGTGTAGCTGCGAGCAACGACAGGACCAGAAGAGGGGTCAGCAATGGCGACAGCGGCAGGCGTGGCAAGCGGCGTAAAGGAAGCGTGGTCGTGGAAGAAGCAGGTAGACGCACCGGAGTCAAGGGTGAAGGACAGGGAAGTAGTCACGGCAGACGAAGGAGGAGCAAGTGTGGAGCCTAGACTAGACAAAGCAAACGGTCTTACGCCTGATGCAGCAGGGGTGTCTGTACTACACACAGGTTCTATGCCTAAGCTAGAGAACACAGGGTAATAAGATCTGGGCACACTAGAAGCATCAGCATACAGAGAATGCAAGGCAGAACTGATCTGATCCATGTCCAAGTCAAAAACAGGCACACCATAGCGCAGCAGACAGGGCCAATCAGGGAGTTCCGGGGCCGGACCGAAGCGGCGACGAAAGAGGTCGTCGAGGCGGCCGAAGCAGCGGGCGATCAGGTGCGGGCGGCGGCACACAGTGCCACGGAGGGGCCTGGTCTGGAGCTGGTACTGGCAGCCGGTAGACACCGAGCTGCGAGGACCGCCACCTCGGCCACCACCTCCAGGGGCTCCCGACCACCCCGGCGGGAGGCCGGAGCACGGCTGCTGCTACGACTACTGCGGCTGCTGCTGTTCCTGGACACCTCCCCCAGCCCACTCATCAGAACCACTGTCGCCGCCACCACCACCACCACGCCCTCCCTTGGGGTCGCGACGGCCCCGACGTTGTCACGGCTGCTGCGGGAAGGCCGCCGCTGCGGTCTCAGTGGCAGAAGCAGCCGTAGCGACCGCAGCGGAAACGGCCGCATACGTGCACTGGGAGGGAGCACAGCCCTGAAAGATAGAGACTGCCGCAACACCGCTCGACTGAGCAATAGTGCGCTGGCGAGTCTCTATCTCACAAAGGGCAGCGACAAAAGCGGTAAGGATGAGGTCACCAGGGCGCTGGCTAAGGAAGTGGTCGCAGGGAGTGGCTAAGCGGTCAGGGAGACGCATGGCAATATGGTACAGGGTAGCGCAGAATGGCGGGGGGAAGGCAGTAAGCTAGGAAGTAGTGCTAGCAGCGCGGTAGCTAGTCTCTAGTGCACGGAGGTGAGTAGCGAGATCAGCGACAGTGAGGAGAGCAGAGAGATCGCGGAAGAGCATGGGGAGGATCAACCGTCTAGCTGAGGCGGAGGCAGGCGTGCAGTAGCATGCAAGTACTGCATCTAAGAAGTCTTCGGTGTTCACGACAGCATTGAAACGCGGACGCTCAGAAAGGGGAAGCGCATGACTAATGGCAAGCTGCGCTACAGCATCGCGAGAATCCCAGAAAGTGCTAGCGAGCGCAGCAGCTGCAAAGGCCTCACTCTCAGCAGTGGTGGGGTCAGCAGGGAGGGGATCAGGCGCGGAGGGGTGAGGAAGCAAGCCATCAACATGCATAGCCAGGGAGTGCCCATCCTGGCGCGAACCGGTCAGGTGCCTGCGGAGATCGACAAGCCAGGCGGCGAAGTCGATCGCGTGCCCCTCCGCGTCCCGACGTAGCACGGCGTCCGCCATCGCGCAACCACAGCGGCACCGGGACACAGCGGCACAGGGGCACAAGGACACAGTGGCACAGGGATATAGGTACTCAGCTGCACGGCGAGACAGCGACACGGCGGCGGGACTCTCCGGAACGGGGACTGGGCGGAAGACCGAGGAGGGCGTGCGAGGAGCCTGAGGATGCGCATGGTGCCGAGGCGCACGAGGGGCCGGCCAAGAGTGCGAGAGGCAGGGCAGGTGCAGGATGGGGCCGGCGCGTAGAGAGGAGCCGATAAGGCGCGTGGGGCCTGCGGTGCGCATGAGAGGGGCCTGCTAGGCGGTAGGGGCCGGCTAGGTGCGAGGGGCCAGCTAGGTGTGAGGGGCCGGCTGGGTGAGAGGGGCCGGCGGGGCGCGAGGGGCCGGCTAGGCGCGAGGGGCCGGCGACGGCGCGAGGGGCCAGCGACGGCGCGAGGGGCCTGCTAGGGCGCGAGGGAGGGCCGGTTGGGCGGGAAGGGGTCGGCTTGGCGCGAGGGGCCGGCTAGGGCGCGAGGGGCCGGCTAGGCAGGAAGGGGCCGACGACGGCATGAGGGGCCGACTAGGGCACAAGGGGACGGCGACGGCGCGAGGGGCCGGCTAGGACGGGAGGGACCGGCTAGGGCGCGAGGGGCTGACGAGGCGCGAGAGGGGGGGAGGGGGCTAGGCGTGAGAGGCCGACTAGGCGCAAGGGGCCGGCTACGGTGCGAGAGGGGCCGGCTGGTCGCGAAGGGGCTGGCTAGGCGCGAGGGGACGGCGGGCACGGTAGGGGCCGGCGAGCGCGCTAGAAGCCGGCGAGGCGCGGTAGGCTAGGGCGCGGGGCGGAAGCGGGTGGGGGGGGGGGCCTAACCTACTCATGATACCATGTTAGAAGAATAGAATAATTAGAAAGAAGAGAGAACAAGGGAGATATAGGGTTTGGGTTGTACTCTCTACGAACACACACCTATTCTAGCCTATAACTTTTACACGCAAATATAGGTATAAGTTGACACTATTTGCATTGTAAGGTTTTTCGTATTGTGCATTACACATTTGGAAGAAGAAGAAGAAGAAGAAGAAGAAGAAGAAGAAGAAGAAGAAGAAGAAGAAGAAGAAGAAGAAGAAGAAGAAGAAGAAGAAGAAGAAAGAAAAAAAAAAAAAAAAAAAAAAAAAAAAAGGAAAGAAAAAAAAAAAGGAAAACCGATTCCTCCCCCCCCCCCCCCCCCCCCCCTCCCCCCCTCCCCTACTCTGAGATTTAAATTCTGTCTCGTCCACACCTCTGCAATTTCCCTCTCATCGTGGTCTCGTAATTCCGCCCCCATCCCACCCACTTCTTACCCAGCTTTCATTCGACTAACTTGGTGAGCCGTATTTCTCTCTCTAGCACAAATCCCCTCGCCAGCCTAGCCCCATCAGAATTTGGGCGATTGGGACCTAAATGTTGATTGGGACCTTATTATTGGGTGCAACGATCTACGCTTTACCAGCTAAAACCTGGGATTTTTTTTGGGTTGCGGAGCAACCTATTGCAATCGATCGGGCTGGTTTTTTTTTCAAGTTTCTGAAATAAAAATCAAATGTTTGTTGTGATGGAAATAAAACATTTTATGTATAATAAAGTTTCATCATGAAATGCTCCGCAACCCTAAGACGATCTCGTCGCCTCGTGTTCTTTTTGGGTTGCGGAGCAACCTACTGCAATCGATCGAACATATTTTTTTTTCAAGTTTGGTGGTAAAAAAATAGCTTAAGAAATAAAAATGGTATTTATCTTATTATTAGCACTTAAATCTGAATCTAATTTGTTATAGTATAAATAAAAATAGTGTAATGCGTATTAATGCATAGTACACTATCAATCTTGAGCGAAAGCAATGATGGGAAATAGAAGTCAATGCCTCTGTTTCCCATCATATCTCGTGGCGTATTTTTGTCGAGACAAAAATAGGCTATCACTTCCCCAACTAAGTGGGGGGAGCAAAAAGCCTAGCTCATCACAACAAAATTAGGATATCGCCTCCCCAGCTCTAGCCGGGGGGGAGGCTTCAAGCCTATTGTCAATAATAAAGTACAAGAAAAAAAGCAACACAATTTGTGAATTCCAAAAAGTGGTTTGCACTCATCACCTCCAGTTCAAATGACTGCACTCAAAGAGAGAGTCAAGAACCTTACTTGAAATGATGAGAACAATTCCACTTTTTGAAATACACAAAGTGTATCACTGTTATTAGTAGATCAGTGACTACACAAGGCGCAGAAAGCAGTTTGAAATGGTTGCACTGTAACCTAGACGTGGTTCAGAGATCAATGAAAAGTCACGTTGCTTTGCCCATAACGATGCAAGTTAGCATCTTCAATGAGCTGAAACTCTGCAGGAAGTTAAAAAAAAACAAGAGACGACGCAATCGTCTTAGGGTTGCGGAGCATTTTTATATAGGTATATTTATTGTACCCGCATGTATATGTATAACTTCAAAGCGTATGTATCTGTAAACTTCTAACAATGGATTAAAACATATACTATGTAAGTACTCAATAGATGATTTGTGTTATAGTGCATTAATAAAAGTACATGCAATCACAATATTAATGCATCTAATTCAAGTAGGATATAATATTAAGTTTCTACATTTTTTACACTATATAAAAATGGGCTTTAGGTTATTCATCGTCCGATACTGTTCTTAAATCGTGCCACGCTGTTGGAACTGGTTTCTTTTGTTGTTCGTTTCTGCTTGTACAGTTTCTTGAATAGTTTTGTTCCTTATTGCTCAACTGTAGACCTGTTTCCGTAATGTTTCTTTTGTTTTGCGTGCGTTTGGATTGTTTTTTTTTTTTTTTTAACCTTTCCGCCAAATGCCCAGCCGTCGGGAGTTGCCGTTTTCATTTTCTTTAAATATTTGTTGACTGTGGCCACTGTTGATTTGTGGCGAGCGAATCTGGCCACCTGGCAATGCTGTTATTTTTTTCCCAGTGGCGAGGCTCGTCACGCGTAACTGCCAGACGGAAATATAATTCGACGTGGCAATGACACCCGCCTAGCAACACTCGCCACAGAATGCTGATTTTTTTCCCGTCAATAAGTGGCAAAACCCCCGAGCTCGCCACTGGATGCATTACGCGTTACACACTCGAGTTTCTGAGTTACACTGCTGATAGTTTTGGTTAAATAACACGATTACGCGAATTTCAGTGCGATGGGGCACTTTCTGACCGAGAAAAAAACAAATCTTCTTTCAGAGCTGCAAAACCGCGGCTGTTTGAACGCACCTTCTCTGCTTGCGGGTTCAGAGCTGCAGAAACGTGAATTCCTTATGCTCGATTCTTCCTCCTCTATACTTCTGTCTCACGTTTTTCTCTTCCCCACTTCCAGCAATTCGTGATTCTAGATCTGGTGATTAGGCAGCAACATGACAGCAGCTACGACTGCCTTTTCTTATCGCAGCTGTACGACAGACTACTCCAGGTCGGCATTAAGAGTGGCTTGATGACATTTTCGTGTAGTCGTATCTTACTAGTTTCTCTATGTTTCTTCTCTCGTTTTTTCCTCAAGCTAGTAGAGGAAACGTAAATGGTCTCTTTCAGCTTAGGTACTCGGTACGGATTCTCATCTGTCGTTTCCCCTCTCCTTTGCCCGCCTTTTCACCCTCCTAGTCCGTCGTAACCACTTCTTTGCCCGCCGTCTCCCCCCTCCTTGCATGTCGTTTTACCTCTCTCTCTCTCTCTCTCTCTCTCTCTCTCTCTCTCTCTCTCTCTCTCTCTCTCTCTCTCTCTCTCTCTCTCTCTCTCTCTCTCTCTCTCTCTCTCTCCCTCTCTGCCTCTCTCTACCTCTCTTTCAACTTCTCTCTCTTCGTCTCTTTCCTTTCACCATCACATTTTGTGTTAACTTCCCATGCCTATTCGTTCTCGGCCTAGCTGCTTGTTGTTCACTCCTTTCATACGCAATGCCTAATATAATATCCACTTTAATTTTGTGCAGGTTTTCTTGTAAACGCGTTTATGAGTTCCCTACGGCGTTTTGCTGTAATTCGTTGGGATGTTCAATTATCTCATTTTCAGCTTTATATTCTTATAATTGCTGGTGTCCTGTGTTTGGTCTGATGTGTCTTGCTGCTGTTATTTGCTCTCATTCTCGATCCACAGCAATGCATGTCTGTATTTTGAAAAAAGAAAGCATGCTTATCAAATCACAAACGGTTCACAGGCGAGCTCCTTGAGTTTCTGTCTCGAACTGGATTTGATAGGTTTTGGTTCTTTTTTTGGACATTACAGATTGCGTTGCTCCATCATTCAGACACTAGGCTTGCTGACTTCCCCCCCATGCTAGCGCTGGGGAAGCGGTAGCTTAGAGTTTGAGTTTTCACTGTCACATAATCATCAATTTTTTTTTTCATGTCATGAATGATTACATGAATTTTCTTGCACGACTCGATTGGATCCGTACACAACGTTGTGATGCAATCAAACAAGAGGCCTGCCAAAATTTCACAGTACACCAGAAATCAACCAAATATGATGCAAATATTATTTCAAAATAGATGCATTTGATTCATATCATAGAATAAACACCTCTAGCATTTTGTTACATTCATAGGAAGAGAACAAAAACTGCAGGTCATATTTTATTGTGCAAAGGTTTTCCATCCAAACTTTTGAGTGAAAAAAAAAATCGGCAAAATCGATCATAATAGGTTGCTCCGCAACAAAAAATAACGGAATGAAAGAGAAAGAGTAAGATAAAAACAGAAAACGTACGCAACACGAATCGGGACTGAGATTGAATGAAAAGGGCAAGAAAGATTGAGATAGGAAACGAAACTGAAGGTGGCACGAGGATTGAAGGGTGTTGGAAATATCTCAAGGACTTAAGCGTTTCTGAAGTGTAACACTGTACTCGAGGAAGATTACAGGGGAGCACGCGAGTCAACGGAGGTTACACGAGGGGGCGGACAAAGAATGCGAAAGGACTCGAAAGGTCGCAACTGGAGGTTGCGACTGACCGTTACAACATCACGGATGGTAACCGAAGCGGCAATCGAGTCGCTGTGCGACTCGATAAACCGTTCCTGTAACTGTATTCTACAACTGCTTTCTTATCTTCTATATATTGCTGTATGCTTGTTTCTTTAATCAATCACTTGTTCTCACATACTAGTACAAGGGTTCAACTGCCTCAACTTCCGCTGCACTACTCCAAGTCTCAAGTCTCTACAAGCTGGGACTTAGTCTCTGCAAAAGATCCTAAGGGCTTTTTCTCAGCCCAACATGGTATGAGAGCTGGTCAGAGATCAAACTCCCAGCAACTACGCTCCATCAACAAACTGCAACTCAACTCAATTCAACGACTTCATTGATTACAAGACATGGACAGCAAGGGCAAGAAAGCCTCTACGGGCTCACCCAGCGGATCTTGACCCCGACTTCGACAGTGACGGCTTCTGGCACTCCAACACCATACCTGCAGCAGAGAGAACACGAGCATTAGCAGTTATCAGACAAGAAAGACAAGTACCCGCAAGTGTCCCAACAAAACCATCACCTGCAGTATCAGCAGCAGGACCCAGCCGAGTACCACCACCATCAACACGAGGACCGCCAACGGAAGCAGACCAACTTATGCCCGCCACACGAGAAGCTTGTCGAAGTCCCGCCTCAGTCGTCGCGTTCTTCTCCAACGCCGACATCTACCACCGCTCGCCCGGCCACCGCGCTCCCGACGACATCTGGCACCAACGTCTCGGACATCCTGCAAACAGCACGATACTTCAAACAATCCAAGCAGAGGTGTTAGAACGCAACGCCCTTCTGACGACGAACGGCCAGGAACTCCGACGACCACGCGCACGGTGTTTCACATGCCCCGAAGCAGATCTTCCTCATCAACCTTTCCAAGCCCATCACAATCCAAGCGCACCCACTTACGCTCCGATGGAAAAAGTCTACAGCGATATTCTAAACATGCCTCGAGACGACACCGAAGCCGACTTCAACTACGTCATCACGTTCATCGACGCCGCAACCAGATACGTCTGGCACTTCAATCTCAAAACGCGCGATCAAGCCTTCGAGGCCTTCACCACATGGCTTCCAATCGCCGAACGAGAGTCAGGAACCAAACTCAAGAGTTTCCAGTCAGACGGTGCACTGGAATACCAGTCACAACGCTTCAGGACCTATCTCGCGGAAAGGGGAATCCGACGCCTGGTGTCTCTGCCCTATGCTCACCAGCAGCAGGGGGTAGCAGAACGCATGAACCGGACCTTGCAGACGACGATGCGAAAACTGCTTCTGGGGATGAGGCTGCCCAACGCACTGTGGCCAGACGCGATGACACATGCTGTTCACCTGCACAACCTGCTGTCCTCGTCATCACTTCCCAACAACGCATCACCGCACCTGTTGTGGACAAGAAAAAGGGGCAGCACAAAATTACTCCGCGTTTTCGGCTGCATGGTACAGTACAGACCCCACACAGCCCGAGCAGGACGCTTCTCACAAAGAGCTCGATGGGGACTACACCTCGGCATCGCAAAACATTTTCACGCGTGGAAAATTCTCGACATACAAGACAAAAACACGGTGGCATCACGCGATGTTATCTTCTACGAACGACTGACGCTGCAGCATTACCTGGACAACCTTGCCAACACACAAGACCCCACCGACGGCTTCGCGGGCCTTCGCTCCTTCGCTGACCATACTGCCGAGGCTGACGCAGCAGAAGAAGACGTACCTGGAGCCTCGGAAGCTGCCGGACCACTCCCATTCTGTTCCGTACCTGTTCCACTCGATGAAGAAAATCCCCTCGATAGCAACAACCTCGACACCTTTTACCACTTCGCCGACCAAGGTTACGCTACACCTCACCCCGTCGACACGAATATTTCGGAACGCATCGGCCCCAATTTCTTACCTGACCCCGAAGACGGTGACGAAGCAGCTTATTCCGGGAATGAAAATTCCCCTCGACACACGCCCACGGGACTCCAGATTCTAGGCCTCTGGGTCTCCGTCCAGAATCCGCCGCCGCCTTCTCCGCGAGAGCCTTCAACGTTGTCGCAGGCTCTGGGGGGGAACATAAGGCAAGATGGAAGGAAGCAATGGAAAAGGAGTTAAAAGCTCTGCAAGACCGAGAAACATGGAAACTGGTACCTGCAACGAGCATCAACGGAAAAAACGTTCTCTCGGGGAAATGGGTGTACCGCATCAAGACCAACTCAGACGGTTCCATCGAACGATTCAAAGCTCGATGGGTCGTACGAGGCTTCGACCAACGGTATGGAGCCGACTACACAGAAACCTTCGCTCCAGTCTCCCGTCACACCTCATTACGCATCCTACTCGCCGTCGCGGCCACGAAAAAACTGCCACTACGCCAAATCGATGTCGCGAATGCATTCCTATACGCACCTGTGGACGCTGAGATCTTCGTCGAACAACCCCACGGATTCATCAACGATCCCACGAAAATATGCCGACTGACAAAATCCCTATACGGGATCAAGCAAGCCCCGCGGCTCTGGCAGCAGCATCTCCACGGCCGTCTCGCAAAGATCGGCTTCCTACAATTACCGCATGACCAAGGGATGTACCGACTGCAGAAGGGAAGAGATTATGTTCTGCTCATCGTCTACGTCGACGACCTGCTCTACATCGGCTCCACTATCGACATCGCCACCTGGTTCGAAGGGGAGCTGAAAGAAGATTTAACTCTCACGGTGTCCGACGAAGTTACTCAGTACCTAGGACTGAACATCGTCGAAGACGACACGGCGTTCTACCTACACGCTGGAAAGTACTCAAGCACCGTCGCGAAGAAATTCGGTCTAGCACCGACTGCGGTCCCAACTCCCTACCGCTACGGGAACAACAGTAGCGCCTCCACAAAACTCCCCGCGAAACAAATCCAGGAGTATCAACAGAAGCTCGGCTGCCTACTATTCGCAGCAGTAACCTGCCGACCCGACCTATCCTATAGTGCGAGTCAGCTGGCGACACATCTGAAGCAGCCGCAACAGGAAGATCTCGAAGAACTCAATCGAGCGCTACTCTACTTCGTCTCCACGCCGACGATCGGGCTCACCTACAGCAAGACAACAACACCGTCCGTACAACTACTCGGATACGTCGACGCCGACCACGCAGGAGACAGCGAAAATCGACGGTCTAGGACGGGCTACATCTACCGACTAGAACCTATCGGAACTATCTCCTGGCAGTCGAGCAAGCAGGAGTTAATCGCACTATCCTCGGCTGAAGCAGAGTATATCGCCCTTTGTACTGCGACCAAGGAAGGACTCTACCTACGAGAGTTACTCGAAGAAGCGAAGATCGCGACCCTGCCCGCCTTCTCACTCCTCTGCGACAACCAATCTGCGATCAAAATCGCGAACAAGGACGGCTTCGCCAACCGAACCAAGCACATCGCCCTGCGGTACTTCTTCGTCAAGGATGAAATCGCGAAGGGGAGACTTCAACTCAGTTACTGCCCGACGACAGAAATGGCCGCAGATTATCTGACGAAGAAATTGGCGAAAGCAAAATTCGACTACTGCATGCTCCTAACCGGGCAAACAAACGTCACCGGATCTGAACACTCCAGCACTCCAGAAACGAAGGGGAGTGTTGGAAATATCTCAAGGACTTAAGCGTTTCTGAAGTGTAACACTGTACTCGAGGAAGATTACAGGGGAGCACGCGAGTCAACGGAGGTTACACGAGGGGGCGGACAAAGAATGCGAAAGGACTCGAAAGGTCGCAACTGGAGGTTGCGACTGACCGTTACAACATCACGGATGGTAACCGAAGCGGCAATCGAGTCGCTGTGCGACTCGATAAACCGTTCCTGTAACTGTATTCTACAACTGCTTTCTTATCTTCTATATATTGCTGTATGCTTGTTTCTTTAATCAATCACTTGTTCTCACATACTAGTACAAGGGTTCAACTGCCTCAACTTCCGCTGCACTACTCCAAGTCTCAAGTCTCTACAAGCTGGGACTTAGTCTCTGCAAAAGATCCTAAGGGCTTTTTCTCAGCCCAACAAAGGGGATGGACAAGGGAGAAAAACAAATAACTGAAAATAAAAGAGGCGGCGTAGATGGAAGAGAGAGAGATATGGTGGGGGAGGTAAATGGAGGGAAGGAAAAGGATTGTGCTTACCGTGCCTTAAAGATGCCATCTGAGGATGCAAATATGGGAAGAGAGAAGAACTCAATGCTAAGGAAGGGGAAGGCTTGGAGTATAGAGGAGGAAAGCGGATGAGAATCCGTACCGAGTATTTGCGTTTCCTCTACTAGCTTGAGAAAAAATGAGAGAAGAAACATAGAGAAACTATTAAGATACGACTGCATGAAAACGTTATTAAACCACTATTCATACCGACCTGGAGAACTCTATCGTACAGCTGAGATAAGAAAGGCAGTAGTAGCTGATGTCACGTTGCTGCCTAACCTGTCAAACATGTGTAGTTATCATGTTTGTATAGACTGTATAGGGTCACCTTCTAGAGAGTACAACATTTAGGTATATTTTTGTGTACTCTCTCTCTCTCACATGATTCAATTCTAATTCTGATATGGTATCACGCGTAGGTAGGATCCCCCCCACCTCCCGCTTCCGCTCATGCCCCCTAGCGCCCCTCCTGGGCCCCGTCGCGCTCCTCCCAGGCCCCGTCGCGCCCCTCCCAGGCCCCGTCGCGCTCCTCCCAGGCCCCCTAGCGCCCCTCCTGGGCCCCGTCGCGCTCCTCCCAGGCCCCGTAGCGCCCCGTCGCGCCCCTCCTGGGCCCCGTAGCGCCCCTCCTGGGCCCCGTCGCGCCCCTCCTGGGCTTCGTAGCGCCCCTCCTGGGCCCTGTAACGCCCCTCCCAGGCCCCGTCGCGCTCCTCCCAGGCCCCCTAGCGCCCCTCCTGGGCCCCGTCGCGCTCCTCCCAGGCCCCGTAGCGCCTCGTAGCGCCCCTCCTGGGCCCTGTAACGCCCCTCCCAGGCCCCGTCGCGCCCCTCCCCGGCCCCGTCGCGCTCCTCCCAGGCCCCCTAGCGCCCCTCCTGGGCCCCGCCGCGCTCCACCCAGGCCCCGTCGCGCCCCTCCTGGGCTCCGTAGCGCCCCTACTGGGACCCGTCGCGCCCTCCCTGGGCCCTGTAGCGCCCCTCCTGGGCCCCGTCGTGCCCCTCCCAGGCCCCGTCGCGCCCCTCCTAGGCCCGTAGTGCCCCTCCTGGGCCCGTAGCGCCCCTCCTGGGCCCCCATTGCGCCCCTCCCTGGGCCCCGTATCCACCCTCCTGGGCCCCGTCGCGACCGTCCCTAGGCTCGTCGCGCCCCTTCCTGGGCCTCGTCGCGCCCCTCCTGGGCCCCCCCCATTGCGCCCCTCCTGGGCCCCGCCGCGCCCCTCCTGGGCCCCCATTGCGCCCCTCCTGGTCCCGTAGCGCCCCTCCTGGGCCTGTTGCGCCCCTCCTGGGCCCTGCCGCGCTCCTCCCTGGGCCCCGTATCCACCCTCCTGGGCCCCGTCGCCCCTGCTCGGCCCCGTCGCCCCTGCTCGGCCCCGTCGCCCCAGCTCGGCCCTGTCGCGGCCTCTCGGCCCCGTGGCGCCCGCCCTGCCCCTGTCGCAGCTGCCCGGCCCCTGTCGCACCTGCCCGGCCCCGTCGCGCCCGCCCGGCCCCGTCGCCCCCGCCCGGCCCTGCTGTGTCCTGCCCGGCCCCGTCGCTGCCGCCCGGCCTTGTCGCTGCAGCCCGGCCTCGTAGCTGCCGCCCGGCCTTGTCGCTGCCGCCCGGCCCCGTCGCAGCCGCCCGGCCCCGTCGCAGCCGCCCGGCCCCGTCGCAGCCGCCCGGCCTCGTCGCTGCCGCCCGGCCCCGTCGCAGCCGCCCGGCCCCTCGTCGCGCCTGCCCGGCCCCGTCGCGCCTGCCCGGCCTCGACGTGCCTGCCCGGCCCCGTCGCGCCTGCCCGTTCCCGTCGCGCCTGCCCCGGCCCTCCATACTTTCTGGTACTGTCCCCCGTTCCCCGCACCACTTTGCACCCTCCTGCACTTTCCTGCCCCGCCTTGCACCGCATTGCACCTCACTGAACCGCACTGACCGCACTGCACCGCACTGCACCGCACTGCATCGCACTGCACCGCACTGGACCGCACTGCACCGCCCTGCACCGCACTGCACAGCACTACACCGCACTCCACTGTCCTCCACTGCCCCTCATGGCTGCTGAGCTTCGTTTTGATGCTGAGGGTCAGCCTCTGGAGTTCGAGGCGTGGTTGGCTGACCTTCGCCGCCACCTCACTGGTCAGCGGCAGGACGGCCACCCGCTTTCTGCACACCTAGACGGTATGCTCCCCTGCCCTGACCCCCCTGCTGTGCTGCCCGCTGATCCCTCGCCCGCTGAGCGCGAGTCCATTGCCGCCGCTGCCCTTGCCCGCTCTGTCTGGCTTTCCCGCGATGCCCTTGCTCAGCTCGCCATTAGCAATGCCCTCCCCCCCCTTGAGCGCCCTCGCTTTAGAACCATTACTACCGCCCAGGCCTACCTCGATGCTGTCATCAAGCGTTATTCTACCCCTCCTGCTGCCTCAGTGGGTCGCCTGATCCTCCCCCTGCTCTTTCCTGACCTGGCGTCCTTCCCCATTGTCTCTGACCTCGCTGCCCACCTGCGCTCGATAGATGAGGCCTGGCGCGCTGCCTGCACTGATACACAACTTAGAGTCCACCAGCCTCCCATGACCTCTACCCTCTACCTCCTTGCCACCCGCCTCCCTGACCGCCTTGCCGCCGCCCGCGACCAGTTCCTTAGCATCCACCCTGCTGCTCTCACCCTCACCGACTTTGTTGACACCCTGACTGCCATAGAGACTCGTCACCGCTCCATAGCCCAGGCGAGCGGTACAGTACCGGTCCCTATCTTTCAGGGTTGTGCCCCCGCTCAGTGTACCTTCTCTGACGGCTCTGTCGCTGTGGCTAAGACTGCTGCTGCAGTGCAGTCCCGCTCGGGGAAGGGCCGCCGCCCCAAGGTTGGGAGCGGCGGAGGTGGCGGGGGTGCGGGTGGGGGTAGTGGTGGAGGCGGGTCGTCCGGTGCCGGTGCGGACGTGGGGACCCTGCCCGGTCCAGCTGCCCCGCTGCCTCCACCGTTGCAGCAGCCGCAGCAGCAGCAGCCTCCGCAGCAGCCGCAGCAGCCGCCGCAGACGAGGCCGGCGAGTGCTCTCCCGCCTGGGTGGCCTGGAGCTGGTGGTGGTCGTGCGCGTGGTGGTGCACCGGGTGGTGGTTCTGGAGGCGGGCCCTGTCAGTACCAGATCCAGACCGGTTGCTACCATCACCAATTGCTGGACTTGGAGAAGAGCAAATCGTGAGACTAGGGTATCGAGGAGGAAGAAGAGAGCAAAAGGTAGTCACGTTTCTGCAGTTCTGAACCCTCGAGCAGAGGAGCTCTGAAACAGCCGCGGTTTTGCAGCTCTGAAAGTTTTTTTTTTCGGTCAAAAAGTGCCCCATCGCACTGAAATTCGAGTAATAGTGTTATTTAACAAAAATTATCGGTAGTGTAACTTAGAAATTCGAGTGTGTAACGCGTAATGCATCCAGTGGCGAGCTCGGGGGTTTTGCCTCATATTGACGGGAAAGAAAATCAGCATTCTGTGGCCAGTGTAGCTAGGCTGGTGCCATTGCCACGTCGGAACTAATTCCGTCTGGCAGTTACGCGTGACGCGCCTTGCTTCTACGCCAAAAAATAGCATTGCCAGGTGGCCAGATTTGCTCGCCACAAGTCAACAGTGGCCGCTGTCAACACGTGATCAAACAAAATTAAAACGGTAACTCCCGACGGCTGGGCATTTGGCGGAAAGGCGAAAAAACATTTCAAACGCACAAAAAACAGAAGACACATTACGCAAACAGGTCTACAATGGAACAATAAGGAATAAACTATTCAAGAAAACTGTACAAGCAGAAACGAACAACAAAGAAACCGATTCAAACAGCGTGGAACGATTTTAGAACAGTTACGCAAGTCGCGCAAGTTAAAGCCCAAATGTATGTAATATAAATATACGTACAAAGACAATTGTATGTCCTAATTGTATTAGATGCATTTACATTGTGATTTCATGTACTTCTATTGATGCACTATGACACAACTTATCTATTGAATGCTTGCATAGTATATGTATTATTCCATTGTTATGTGTTAACAGATACTAACGCTTTGAGTTTCGATAACTAATCCTAACCATGTATATTTATATAAAACTAATATATCTATATAATATAAGCTCCGCAACCCTAAGACGATTGCGTCGTCTCTTGTTTCTTTACACCCACACAGACAGCACTTTCAGGTGTCTTCGATACAGGCACTCACAAATTCTGTTAACTCGCGGCTCGCGCTGGGTCTGGCTGTTATGTCAATATCGTTCGTTCGCGTTCCCAGAGTTCCCAGACATTTCACGGAAACCCGTGGCGAATCCCCTACGACATTCGCGAAAGATTGTGGTGACTGCTGCGTTTGGTTCGCCCTGTCGGACGTTCGCCGTGTGCACATGGACGGGGGGAGCTCAACAGGCCCAGAAGGAAGCTCCACGCGGCAGGAAGGTGCACTATTGCGTTTTGGTGATGTGCACAACCTTCAATGCACTCGTGTGGGGCACAACTGCCGCTTCAGTTCATCGTGCTCCAAGTGGTGCCAGTTCAAACCAAAGTTGCTGATCCAGAATCAACTATCGCAGCCGAGGTTAGTACTTAATCGCTCAACTCGAACGACTCTGTGTGACCATCGCTCCCACCCTTCCCGCTCGGTTCTGAGAAATAGACTCACAAGCAGCTTCTAAGCACCTTATTCTGACAGCATCGGAAACACCGACGTCGCGTCTTTCTGTTTTCATAGAGCAGGCTGTATCACTGTCTCACAGCATCACTGCATCACTACATTGCTGCTTTCACAGCATCTTCACCTCGAGCAATCAACAGCCCAACGATTCTAAACAGGCGCAGAGGAGAGGTTGGTCTTCGGCCGCATTCGTCATGTTCCCCGTGCATCCCGCGCGCAATCTCTTTTCCAAATACGAGATCCACGACAAGCTCGGATCTGGCAGGTTCGGCACCGTCAGGCGATGCACGCACCGCGCGACGGACATAGATTTCGCGTGCAAGCGCGTAGCTCCGTTTAAAGAAGAGCTCCGAGGCGCCGCTAACGAGATCAATTCCCTGACGCTGCTTCACGGTGTCGGCCACGTGACGCCTCTTCGTGACGTTTTCCGTGACTCGGAGGGTGCTCTTTACATGCTATCGGATCTAGCCACCGGCGGGGATCTCGTATCGCGGATTCTGAACCACGGGCCGCTTTCCGAGTGCGACGCGCGGGAGATCTTCAGAGACATCGCGGCGGGTGTTCACGAGTGCCACGAGAGAGGAATCCTGCACCGCGATATCAAGCCCGATAACGTGCTTCTGTTTCCGCGCAGCCCCAGAGAGCCGTGCCTTGATAACTCCGAGTCCGACTCAGCATGGTCCTTCGAAAGCTCACATTCAAACACCCTGTTTGAGTCCAGCACGGCCGGTAGCACTGCCGGCAGCACTTGCGGCAGCACTGCCGGCAGCACTCGTCGTCATCCTGCCGACTCCTCGGAATCGACGTCGGACGTTTCGTCAGCAGCACCATCGTCCCCATCTACCTCATCCGCTTCCCAGTCATCATCCGCGTCGTCGTCGTTATCGTCATCGTCGACGGCGAACTCCGGCGCGCAGCCGCGAGGCGTCGAGCCGCACCTCCGTCGAGTCGAAAACCGCCGCCCGAGTCCGACCACTCGGGCGAAAAAACCTGCCTCCGGTTCGGGGGAGGCTCGGGGGTGCGCGTTTGTCGCGAAGCTGGCCGATTTCGGGGGCTCCACAGTGCTGAAGTCAGGGCAATCCGCCACGGGGTATGTTGGTAGCATGCCGTACATGGCTCCCGAAGTTGCCGCGCGGAAGCCATACGGCTTTCCCGCGGACGTCTGGAGCATGGGCGTCACGCTGTATGTCATCCTTTCCGGGCGGTGGCCCACGATTTCCCATGGCCGGCAGTCGTCTCGCGACTGGGAATTACCGTGCTGGAAATCCGTGTCAGGGCGAGCGAAAAGCCTGATTCGCAGAATGCTGTCCGGTGACCCGCAGGCTCGGCCGACTGTTGGCCGGATTTTGCAGGATGCGTGGCTCTGCGGGACCTCTACGTTCGCTGTAACGCGTCAGACGGCGTGTATAAAGGGGATGGAACCTGGAGCTCCAGATGGGTCCAGGATTCCTAGAGAGTCTACTTCGCGTAGTGGCAGACTGACATGTAATGGCTTGGCCTCACACCTGCTTCCACGTTGGCTGGCTGCGTGAGAGCAATTTAGGTGCAACAGAGTCGTTGGTGCTCCAATAATGTAGTGAATAGACTAGTTTAGCCCCATATACTTTTCATACACTATGCATACTCCTCCACTATTGAAAAGTGTTGGGCTGAGAAAAGCCCTTAGAATCTTTCCAGAGACTAAGTCCCAGTTGTAAAAGGCTTGAGTAGTGCAGCGGAAGATTTGAGGCAGTTGAACCCTTGTACTAGTATATGAGAACAAGTGATTGATAAAAGAAACAAGCA